GACCTGCCCTCCGGGACTCCCAGCTGCTGGCGGAGGACTTGGAGAGCTGTGGGAGGAGACTGGACTACAGCTGCCCCAGGGCCACTTGTCTCGGGTCGGGTCGTTGGGATTATGGGAGCTGAGACAGGGCCCCGGAAGAGGTCCTTCCTATTTAACTGAGACCTCAACGACCCCCAAAGTCCACAGAATAGCCTCTACCTGCCTTGGGCACTGGGGAACCGGTGAAGTGTGGGTAGACTGGAGTCCTCAAGCCACGACAACCCTCCCCATGTCCCTCCCGCACCACATTATCCACTTTCTCAGCTTCTAGCCAGCATTTGGTTTCATCCTACAACTATACTTATGAAGTCTCAAAAACAGGAATTTCTCACTTTGGCTGTCTTCTTCTTAGTCTGCCTATCCTAGGAGAGCTGGGGTTTCCCCAAATACCATCACATCATTCTTTATCCACCTGTGATCTCCCAGGAGTCAGGGCAGCAGCTGCAGGTAGGTCTGGCAGTGGAGGAAGAAAATGGAACTTAAGACTCAAGGGAACCCAACCAACATGGTTCCAACTGAGTGTGCTTAAGGATTGGGAGGAGGGAGAAACAAGAACAACCAGTAGCATCCCTCTTGCCCCTGCCCCATGTCTCTCTCCATTCCACCTGTGGGTCTGCTGTGCTCAGAACAGGCCAGGGAGAGGCCATGGCTAAGGAAATCAACATGTCTAATCCCAGGTCCGGATCTAACCAAACCCAAGTGAAGTGAGCGCCTTTATGTGGCTGGAACCAGATACAGCAGCTGCAGTGGGTGCCACGGCCAGGAGGCCAGGACCGGGCTGGATAGGACAGAAACACCCAGAGATCTCCCTCAGGACCTCCCATCCTCTATCCTGTAAGTGATAGCTTCTTCCTTAGCCTCCAACATAACAGCACTTACACACTGAGAAACTCAGTTCCCTTCTTTTCTTTAGAATGGAATTTTGTGGTGTAGAGAAGATTTAGGGAGTGAGTTGGTTCACTGATGATTGAGAGATACATGAGATCAAACTCCAAGGGTTCTTACTCCAACTGGCTAGAAATGAGGACCTAAGTTTGACCCTCAACTAAGGGCACCCTCCTTGAACCTCTTGCCTTTCTGTAAAATGAGATTAATACCCAACCACCTAACATGACCTAACATAAAGAAGTTTTTTTCTAGGGGCTGGGGTTGTGGCTCAGTGGCAGAGCACTTGCCTAGCATGTGTGAGGCTCTGGGTTCGATTCTCTGCACCATATACAAATAAATGAACAAAATAAAGGTCCATCAACATCTAAAAATTAAAAAAAAAAAGTAGTCCTTTCTAAGCTCTAAGGGACAACTCAGACAAGAGCTGTCACACTGCAGTGCAGTAGAACTAGAGGATGGAGGAGCCCAACCTCTGGTCCCACGTCCATACTGCTGTGGACAACCCCAACCACAAAGGAGGACAAGGAGAGGATCAGCACTGGAACCAAGTTTGCCCTCCGGCTATGGCTGCAACATCTGCACAGGTAAAGATGAGGAACGACTTGAGGGCTCCGCGGCATTGGGGCTGGAATGGTCTAGGGTTCTTATGGGCATGCAGGAGAGGAAGGGATAAATAATAACTGCTCTTGAAGTCCTCAGAGTAACACGCCATCAGGTGAAAGTGGAGCTTACGTGGATGTAGGGCATCAAAGGAAGAATGGAACGTGGACCCTCTTCCCCCAACCCAGGGATATGGAAAGTGAAGTGCCCACCCCCTCCCTAGCCCACCTCCATGACACTCAGAACATTCACAACCTTTATTAGGGTGAGAACTTTGCTACAATCTGAAAGTAAAAAGTAAAATTACAACATAGGTTCCAGGCCCTTGAGGAGCCAGAGAAAAGAGATTGGGAAGGAGGACACAAGGGTCCTCCCACCTGCCAGGAAAGGTGCAAAATGAGCCAGGGCGAAGCCCAGGGCCATGGCCTCGAGAGGCACAGGTGGGCCTCCAGAGGCACAGGCCCCAGGCTGGTCAGTGTTCAGACCCGCTGTGAACTTAAATATATAAATAGAGAGGGACCCAGGCAGTCGCTGGGCCCTCCCTGTTCTCAAACCCTGGGGATCTTGACTTAAGGCCTCTCTCCTACTCAGTCAAACTGGGAAGTAGGGGCAGGAAAGTCATCTTTGGAGTATTTGGGAGTTTTCTGTTTATGTACAAAAAAATCCACAACACAAAATAGAGGTTTTTTGTCCATCTCTGAAACTGCCTGTCTTTCCTGCCACCTGTGTGGCCAAAGGGAACGGAATGGACATGAAAAGTATGAATGGTTGGGCTTGGGGGACGGAGAGGGCATCTCACAGACAAAAAAAAAGGCCCCTTCCCCAGGAGCCTCCAACCCTTCCCCAACTGCCACCCCATCTCATCTGCTCCCCACTGCCTAGGTTAACACAGCAAAGGAACGTGCCACCATCTAAAGAACAGTCCCCAGTGTCCTTTAAAAGAAGCTGAATATTGACCTTTTGCTGCTGGCTTTGTTAGGCAGAGATGAGGCCAAAGTAGGTGTCCTTGAAGGTCTGTGTGGCCTTTGGCCACAGCCCCCGAGGGATGAGAGTGGCCAGGGGCTGGGGGTCCACACAGCATATTTGCTCAGTGTTGGAGGACAGTGAAGGTTCCAGAATCCAAGGAACTCAGTCCAGGGAAATGATATCTGACCGACAGCCAGTCAAAGAGGGGCCTGAAGGCAGAGGTCCTCCATGTCCCTCCCTCAAGGGCGCCCCAGGAGCCACAATGCTGCTGACACGGCCAGGAGAGGGTGCTGGAGTGGAGCTGCGGTGGGAGCTCCCCAGTGTGGGGGCCAGTGGACCCAGGAAGTGGGAAGGGGTCCCCCGGTACTGGAAGAAGTGGCCAAGGGCATCCTGTTCATCTAGCGAGGTGATGACGGAAGGACCATAGTGCTGAGGAATCAAGGGCACAGTTTAGGGTCTATCCCAACTCTCCCACCTCCCAAAGTCAGCTCAGAAATGTCCCACGGGGTCAACGAGCCCCTGTGGGTTTCAAGGGCTCTTGTTTCTCCAGAAGTAGGACCTCTGTGGCTCTGCCTGCTCTCCCACACCCCTCCCTTTCGCGCTGCCTGGAGACGGCGCCTCCAGCACACCAGGTTCTTGGCCTTGAGGTGTCTGAAATGTGGGGCCTGGGCGGCAGCGGGGTACACCCAGTGCTTGAAGTGCACAGGATGTGAGAAGGTGAGCAGGCAGGGGCGGAACGACACTAAAAACCCTCAAAGTACAGTGACAGGATCCAGGAAAACATGTAGGAATCTGAGGAAGTACTAGTGGGGCAGAGCGGGAAATAGCTACCTTTATCCTCCCTCCCTCACAGAAAAGACTGAGTTCCCAGGGACAGTGGCAGAGATCAGGGTGCCCTCAGTGCCTAGAAAGGAAGCTTCAGAGCTCTCAGATCTTCATGGAGAAAGGAACCACTTACCTGACTCTCAGTCTGAAGAAAAGAAAATAAATCTAAACCTGGCAGGAAAAGAAAAATCAAAATCAACTTCCTATCTGACCCCTTCACTGCCAAAAGACAAGTTCTGTGGATGGTGGCTTCTCAGAGGAGACCCAGGAGACTTTGCAAAGGGGCAGGGTCCCATCTGTGCCTCAGTGTCATACCTTGGATATCAGCCCCCAGGGGGAAGGCAGGTGGGTACTCAGGTAGTGGGAGACCAGACAGGAAATCACTGCCCAAGGTGCCCATGGCAGGACTCCGTAGCACCGAGGAGGGCTGGTGACCAGGTGTGAGGACTCTGTAAGGAAAGCAGGGGCTGGGGCAGCTAGTGGACCACACTGTCCCCCAGGCCGACTTCCCAGGTCCCCTCTACCCTCTCCACCTTTCCCGGCCTCCGGGTTTGATCAGAAAGCATTCCCGAGTCTTCCACTGTCCCTTTTGCTGTAGATTCTCTTACCCTTTGCTTCCAGGTAGTGTTGGGATGGCAGCTGAGGTGACAGGACAGTGCTTCTTGGTTGGGGGCAGATCCTCCTCATCTGATGAGCTTTCTATTGTCAAGTCAATAACTTCAACCTTCTTCTTATTTTCTGAAGGATTTCCCTCTTGAAGTGGGCTATATTGGAGGCCTGTAGGTGGTAAGAAGACTGTCTTAGAAAAAGGGCCATCTGAGATTCAGCTCAGTTGGGGGACGAGGGGTCACTCACCATCCAGCCCATACCCTGGCGGGGGGCAAACCTCAGATGCCTCCTTCTTGGGTTTCATTGGGCACCAGGATCCATCTTCCATGAACTGGATCTCATCACAATCCGAACAGGAATTAAGAATCTCCATGAATAAACTAGAGGAAGGGAAAGATGGGCGTTTATGAGGCCCGGGAGATGGCTGCACAGTACTCAGTTCTGTGACTCACCTTCCTGTGACTCAGTTTCCTCATCTGTAAAATAGGGATGTCCACCCTACTAGACCTCTGAGTCACTGTTGGAATCAAAGTAAGTATATATGTAAAAGAACTTTGCAAACTTTTGCTGTTAGGTTTTAACATAAATACAATCTGAACACTTGTTAGGTATAATCTAGGAACAAGATAGAAAAAGAGATACAGAACTCCTTAAACCATCTCAAAAAACACACTGCAAGCAAGACCCATATGAAGACTCTAGAAGATGGATAAGATTAACTAAGAAAAAGAAATTCTTTGCTTATGAAAAAAAATCTTTACTTGTGGGAAATAAAATATTCTTTGCTTGTAAGGAAAAAAAAATCTAACTGGATTAGCACACCCAGACCCTCAAATGAACTTTATTGCTATGCTCAGTGGAAGGTGAGATAGTTGTTAAAGCAATATGTTATAACAATTTGGTTCAGTTATAACTGCGCTACTAACAGTATAAACTCGAGCAAGACTCGATCTCTCTAGGCCTCAATTTCCTCTATGGTACCTATCTCACAGGGTTATTAGGATTCAATGAGATAAGGCACACAAAGTGCTCAGCACTAGGCCTCATACATACATGTTCCTTAATATTGTCACACTCACACACGTGCATGTCTGCATGTATGTACATTTGTGAATGTACAGCTAAAGGGGACAGAGCGAGAGCGGGAGTTCATGTGACAGGAAGTTAAGCCATTTATGTCAAGAGGGTCCTGGTGGACGCCTAGCTAAGAGGAAGAAAAATGACCCTACCCATCAATAATAAGAGATTCGTAGGGAGCCTTCTTGTCACACACAGGACATGTCCATGTTGGCTTCTTCTCATTCATCTGTAGATAAAGGGCAGCATCGAAACTCTGCAGGTGGGCGCAGGTGAGAGCACGACATGGGACAGTCAGGCGCATCTTCCCTAGCTGAGGAGAGAGCTTTCTAGTCAGAGACTTCACTCTGGTTTCATTCCAGAAAACCTCACTCTCACTCCCAAAGAACACTCCTCAGAGTGCAGAGGTCCAGCCCGACGTCCCTCCCCTTTCCCTTCTCCCCTTGTACCCACCGGGCACATGAGCGACACCCGGAGACTCGTAGTAGCCACCTCACTGTCGGGGTCAGCCGTCAATTTCTCCTTGACTGAAACAAGAGTGAGGCCAGAGCCATAGGATCAGTAAGGCGAAGGAAGCCCCAGGGCTGGTAAGGCCGATGCAGATGCCTGGCTAAGGCAGCTGGGTGGAGAGTCTTTGGGGATCACTGGACTGGTCACGTGGATGGTTTGAGATCTGGGTTACAAAGGCTAGGTGTGAGGGAGAGACTTCCCAATTCCTGAAGTGGTTTAAACATGGCTACATTAGAGATGACCTAGAAGGAACTGAAGCTGCTTTCCAGTCCAGAGAACCAGATCCCATCCATCCTGGGAACAGTCTGGCTTCTCAACGTGAAGACTGGTAGGGAGTACAGGAGAGAGTTGGAGTTCGTGTGAAAAGAGAAGGAAGTTGTCACAAGAAAGGTATTATGAAGGCTGGAGGGCCAAGAAGACTGAGGTCCAAATCAGAGGGGAAGAGGAAAAGGGTGCTACTCACTCAGGGCCCGAGAATGGTCTGGGTTGCGGATGCCCTTGGCTCTCAGTTTCTGTAGAAGGGTCCCTGCAGTCAGCTGCCTCACCAGGTACACAGACAAGGAGTAATTCTACTTGGAGGAGGGAGTCAGGGGGAGAAAATCAGCTTCGGCTTCTCATACCACCACCACCACCCTCTTTTGTCCCATGAAGAACAGAGATGATTTCCCTTCATCTCCTGTAGGCCTTTCCGGGCACCCTGTTTTAGTTTTGCTCACCCGTCCAAACTCAGATGACCAATTAACCACAATGGTGTTGGGAACAGTGGCTGAGAGTCGAGCCAGTGGTGTGATGTTGATGGGGCGGCTGGGCCTCTTAGGTTCAGCCCCATTCTTGGTGGGAGGAAGGTAACCCTGAGGAAGGGAGGAGCTGGTCAGTGGAGAGATGGCTCTGGGAAGGGGCTCTGCTGTGACAACAAAAGACACCTTGTCTCAGGTTGCTGACCACCTGGGGGAGAGGTCGGCTCACTCATGACCCATTCAGTGACACACAAAACTGGGATATTACCTAAGGCTGTGTAGGGGGTTCATGCCTGGAAAGAAAGGAGAGCTTACTTACTGACCAAGGAAGTTCGAACCCACTCACTAAGTCCTTTAGGAGGAAGAACAGGGATACCTCACTTCCTCTACATAGAGCTCTAGGGCTTTGACTTTTAAGTCTTCCCTGCTAGGCACCATGGTGCACACCTGTCATCCCAGCAGCCTGAGAGGCTGAGGCAGGAGGATCACGAGTTCAAAACCAGCCTCGGCAAAAGTAAGGCACTAAGCAACTCCAGTGAGACCTGCCTCTAAATAAAATACAAAATAGGCTGGGGATGGGGCTCAGTGGTTGAGTGCCCCTGGGTTCAACCTCCAGTACCCCCACCCCACACAAAAAAAAGAAGTCTTCCCTGAACCTTTGGATTGAACTAATGTCACTTCTCTAGTCCAAATAGAACTTTTGTTTAGCTGTATCTTTTTTCTTTTTGGCAGTATATAACCCAAGGGCATTATACCATTCTACTGAGCTGCATCCCCCACACCCTTTGTGTGTGTGTGTGTGTGTGTGTGTGTGTGCGTGCGCGCGCACACACACATGCACAAGCAATACGGGGATAGAACCCAGGGGCCCTTTACCACTGAGCTACATCCCCAGCCCTTTTTTTT